AGTCTCTGGCATCAGGCTGCCACGTGTGGGTGTGCAGTCCCATGAGGTTGCCTGTGTTCCGTTAATGTAAAACCAGAAATTTCTTCTATCCTTTATAAAAAAACCCTTGAATCACAAACCATGCTTCCACGTGAATTCGTTCTCGTGCAAAGCCAAGAACCAAGGTATTTCTCAACCGAGAAATATAAGTTTCACTGTGAGGATTAATGAAATGAAACAAAAAGTTACGAACTGTTTAGTGGAACACAAATCTGCTGTATAAATCTTCACCCAATTCAGAATAAGTTAAATTAGAAACAAAACAAAAACCCAAACAAATGAACTAGAATTTTAGCTATCAACAGGAACAAAATTCAAAAAACAATATTGAATGAAAATAAGTTATGTGAGGGCACATCCCATTTTATATAATTTGTACTAAGTTTGTAAAAAGCAGACCCATCCTCTACACAAAAATATTTCAGGAATATAGCCACATGTTGGAAAAATATATGGAGCAGAACACAGGGGAGGTTGATGAGTGGCTAGAATTGAACACAGGGGTAATAGTCTGAAATAGAAACTCCCCCACCTAATTCACAATTAAAAAAATTTTTTTTTAGTATATGGAGCCTCTAGTAGTATGAACAGTTAATCATTCTACTATTTGATGAAAGCTTGGTGGTTCAAAGCTACCTAGAGGCATCTGAGAACAAGCCTGATCATCTGTTTCCAAAAGACTGAAGCCTTGAAATCCCTACTGAGAAGTTCTACTAGACACCCATCGGGTCAACTTGAACCTGGACCAACTTTAAGGCCAAACAGTAGCAATAACAAGAAAAGTATAAAGATTCTAGATAGATATTTCTATTCCCTTTATTTATAGTTATACCAAAGGTCATACTATTTCAAGTATCTCATCATATTAAATTTTTACATCTGCTTTGGTACAGACATAAAACGTACAGTTGTTCATCTATTTCAAAATATATTTGGTTATTTTTATCCAGATCTTCCAAATTTCAAGCTCACATTGTCAAAATCACCCTCTCCCAGCAAAAAATTTTGCTCAGATTCTAACTACAAACTTCGCTGAATTAAAAAATGATACTCAGAATCGTATTGAGATTCCTAACACTGTCTTCTTTATCATTAACTTGGTAGGTTTTCATTGATCCATGTCCTTTATTTATTCCAATAATGTTTTATAGTTTTCCCCCTACAGACAGATCTTGACACTATGGCATAAGCTTATTCATTAATGAATTTCAGAAATTAAAAACATAATTGATTTGCTGTTTTGTTGGATTATATCCTCTACCTAGGATATACAAAGGTATTGATAACTGTTTGAAGGTAAATAATCACATTGCCAAGAAAAAAAATGATATCCCTCTGCTCCTGCTTGCACTTGTGTGGCACGTGCGCGCACACACCCCTTTAACCCAGGAGGAAATGTACCTGTTACCTTCTGTTCAACTAGAGCAGGGTGGGGAATGTGGGGCCTCAAGTTGCATAAGGCCCATGAAACCACATGACCACATATGAAACAGTTCCAGCCATCACATCATATCACATCCCCCATCACAAAATTAAATATTAAACCAGCATGGCCCATGAGTGTTAAAAGTATCCCAATGTCTCTTGGCAGAAAAAAAGTTCCTCACCCCTGAACTGGAGAAACAGAAGCCTAGAAGCTGGTTGTAGCAACCTAGTTTCTGTGAATCCCTCTTTAATTTGCAATGAAACTCGGGTACCTGCAGTGGTTCTCAACCTGTGTGGGTTGCGACTCCTTTGGGGGTCGAACAACCCTTTTACAGGGGTGGCCCGATTTATAACAGTAGCAAAATTACATTTATGAAGTAGCAACAAAAATAATTTTATGGTTGGGGGGTCACCACAACATGAGGAACTGTATTAAAGGGGTCATGGCATTAGGAAGGTTGAGAAACACTGCTCTATGGGATTCCTCTCCTACACTCTTGTGGTGAGTTCTCTTCTGGTTTGATTCTTCCTCTGATACAATGTTGTTTGCATTCAATCTTCTAATAAACTCTGAAAATTTCTGTCAGTTAATGATACTCACTTTTATATTCTCTCTCTATATATGCACGCCAAGTATGTGTATGTATGTATGATTTAACACTGGAGAGCAGCCAATAACAGGCAGAAGAAACACTAGCAAATTCCACTTGAAAAAATTTAAAGGAGGAAATTTATATATTAGTAGCTTTTTGCCTAAAGGCAATTCCAATTCCTTCATAATACAGGTAATGGCCATATTGAGTTGAGCTGTCATGGGGCCAGAGTTCAGGACTTGTAGGATATGCAAAATTTGAGGAAAAAATTCTGGAACGGAGGAAGCAGTAGTTCCCAAAACTACATACAAGATCTACCTCCATTCTTACTGACAGTTAAACTATGAATGCAGAGAGGGCCCTAGAGACCCCTGCAAAAGCAGCAGTAGGAACTTGAAATTAGTAGAAATAATACGTGATAAATCTCTGTAGGAGAATCTTGACATTTAAAATAGCTAAATTTAAGATTAGGAAATTTGCAAGATACAAGATTACTACATAAACGAATGGTATCTCTACTGCTAACAAAAAGTAAATGAACGTGGGTGGGGGCTGGAGAGGGGAAAGAAACACCATTTTAAATGATTCTATCTACAAACTTTCCAAAACGTAATTGTTGGTAGGTGCCAGCCAGCTTGAAATACTGATGGCATAAGCTTCCTGCGTCACAGGACCACGCAAGCTACCATAGTATGACCAACACACAAGTGGTAGAAAGACTAAATTAAAGATACCGAGTTGGGGGAGGGGGAAGTGGGGAGGGAGGGGGGGAAATGAGGAGCTGATACCAAGGGCTCAAGTAGAAAGCAGGTGTTTTGAGAATGATGATGGCAACATATGTATGAATGTGCTGGACAAAATGATGTATGTATGGATTGTGAAAAGAGTTGTATGAGCCCCTAATACAATGATTTAAATTAAAAAAAAAGATACCGAGTTTTCTTTTTCTCTCATGAGCCCACTCCACTTTAATCCAATGAATAATCACTACTGACTTATGTCCTATCTACCATTCATAATCTTTTCTCCATTATACACAGCCAATCATTATGTTTCCAAGTAGCTTTACTGCTGCAGCAATCTCCCTACTGCCTCTGGTTTGTAGTTCTCTTTTTAATTGCCTGCACTATAATCATACTGACACATTTCATGTTAAGGTGCTTAAATACATCTTTGGAAAAGTTTAACAGTCTTATCATTAAAAGGTACTTCATGATTTTACAAAGTGCTGTAAATCTCACCTTCCACCTCTCTTGTCTTGCTGTATATTTTAGTCATATTAAAACTACTTTTTCAGTTCCTGTCTCTTCACTCTGGATGCTGGTACTTTTCCCTGAAATGAATTCTCTATGCCTCAGGTCTCCTAGCCATTTCCTCCCCAGACAGAACCATGACGGAGGAGCCCAAAGGCAAAAATGATTCAGCGGGCTACCAAAGAGCTCTATGTAGCGCAGCTTGAACTGAAGCACTGCCACCGACACAGATAAAGGCCTAAAGGAGGGACATCCGATGACTGTAAGCATTTTAGCAATCATGTATTAAAACAGTTTACTGAAATAACGATTACCCTCTGTGAGGGTCCCTATGTTTCCTAAAGCCTGGTGAAATCAGTAATTTAAGACTTCTATATTAGGTTAAAGAAATCTTCAAAAGATACCTCTATTCCAAATAAAGTATACTGTATATACTAGTGCATAAGTGGAGTTTTTCAGCACATTTTTGATGCAGTTTCTGTGGCAAAATCAGGTGTCTCGGCTGATATTCAGGTCAGCTTATACTCGAGTGGCTCAGCTGTCCCAACAACTACTGACCTTTGCACGACCAGACTACCTGACTGGTCGATGCTTCGGAAAAGTTATTGGACTGAAGCAGCTATTTCTTCACGCCTTCTGATTACAGGCTCCCAGGTTGCTGTTCAGTGGCAGCCAATGGCAGGTGCAAATTTGCAAATCCTGAGACTATGAGCCACAACAGCTTGCAAGAGGGTTGATATTGTATTGTATACTGAATATATACAAACATTTGTAGTATATAATAAATGGTGCTCATACAATATGCATGTCCTGTCCCTGAGAATGTATTGTGGGCATTAAACAATGCGCACACACATTTATATTACATATATACATATAAAACATGGAAAGACTTAAAGATTTAAAACTCTGAAATAAAATCGGGCCAAAATTATTTTAGAATTGCACCAGGTGACTTTGGATCATTATTGCTATTGTTTTGTATGGTTACTGCCTCTCTTTAACATGTCAGAAGACTGGTGGCATAACGGATGGCCAATTGAAGGGCCAGCAATTCAAAGCTATCAGCTGCTCTGTGGGAGAAAGCTGAGGACGGCTGCCTCTGCAAAGATTCGCAGTCTTAGGACCCTATTGGGGCTGTTGTACTCTGTCCTATAGGGTTGCCATGAGCTGGGATTTACTCGACACCAATGGGATTTTATATGCATCTCTACGTCATCCTTTCTTAGGAAGAGAGCGTGTAGGCTGTGGAGTCAGACAGACCCAATGTAGATGCCTTTCGCAACTACTCAACCACCGATGTGTCATTAAACAAGTAGGCTGACTGCTCTGAGCCTTAGTTTCTCACCCATGAAAGGATTTTAATGATACCTTCACCAAAAGTAACTGTGAGAACTAAATGAGCAAATACATGCACTCCTTGGGTTATAACTCCAATTGACAGACAACTCTTAGGTGTCCTTTCATGGGATATAAATTTGCACTGTCTCTGAAATGACTGAGCCTCTTACATATAAAACATCAATAACAGAAGGGACAAAGGCAAAGGATTTATTATCTCTAATCATTCAAATCAAATTAATAAGAAAAAACACATTAAATCAGTGAATATTATAAATTAGAAAGAACTTTAAATTATGAACAGAGAGGAAAAGTAAAAAGAAAATGAAAGACAACATCTTAAACTTACTGGGTTATCTGTGAAATCGTCAGTCAATTGTAAACCAAAATAGTCACGCTCAGTCAAATCAAGATGTTTGAAGACTATATCCAACAGAACTTGGCCCTGATCATGTTTCTGAAAGAAAAATAATAGAATCTTTAATCTGGTGAGTTTGGATACTCTTCTATTAAATCTTCAACTGTCTCCATACCAATGACTTGTTGAGAATAAAAACACCCCCACAAATGTATATGGTACATAAAAAACAAGCCTGCAACAAAGCACAACACAAGGCATCACAACGCAACCGCAGTGCAGGAGAGTGCAACACAACTCAATGAAGATCATGGCAGCACGTGGGACATTTTTAATCATGTGTAACTGAAACTCTTCTGTGCATAAAATTTAAGCCTTTCATTGATAACACTTTTACATGTGATATGTACTTTCCTGTTGCATTTTAAAGACACATTTCTTTCTTTTCCTTTTCGGGGGGCGGGGGTTTGTTGTCTTCTGTTTCCCCTTTGTTCTCAAACCATGACACCATCAGTCCATAGGCTTCTGATAAATGTGGGAGGATTCCTGAACACTTATGTCTTTCATGTAATAATTAATTGTTCAATAAAGAAGTCAGAAAATAATGTAAAAGCCTAATATTGTAAAAATGGTTGAAATGGTGCATGTTTTATTTCATGACCCCCCCCACCAAAAAAACCTTTTTTTTTTATCGTTTTATTAGGGGCTCATACAACTCTTATCCCACCCAAAAAAAAAAATCTTAAAACCAAAATAAAATCTAAGCTCAGCCACCTGGCTCAAAGAGTATATAGTAAATATTACAATATAAAGAAAATTCTTTTGATTCTGATAAAGATAAGGCTTACTCCTGTAGAGGTGTAGCCTCAGAACCTCACAGGGCACGTTTTACTTTGTTATATAGGGTTGGTGTCATAGTTACATACTCTGGTGTCAATCTGGGACTTGAGAGGATTAAGAGTGAAGGGGTGGAGTCTAGTCTGTCAATGGGCCATAGCCAATGAGGCCTCTGTGTGGGTATGACTGTCTCCCGAGAATGCTGGGAAATCTGATTTTTCCTCATTGGAGGTGGGAGACACACTCTCTCGGCTCACTCCCTGCGAGACATCCCTGTGCAGAAGACACAAAGAGTGAGGTTGATGAAGCCAGACCTCTGGAGCCAGAGGAGACACATGGAAAGCCCTGCCAGCGCTGAGATGCTTACACCACCAGTGGATCTGTAAGACTTCCAACCCACTGGTCTGTGATCTTCCTGCATTCGGCATCTTTGCATGTGTTTCCTGAGTCTGAAGAGGGCTTTACAGATTGGTATTGGACATATGGGCTAATATTGGTCTTATGGACTTGATCTGGACTAGGCTGGGATGTTGTCTCAATGTTCAATTGCTCTTGTGTGAATTTGTTTCTCTAGTCTACCCAGACTAACACAGTTGGTATGAATCGGCATTGACTAATGGCAGTGAGTATGTTTTCTCTCCCTGAACTGAAAATGCATTGTTTCCAAACTACGACTGCATCTTTTTAAAAATTACATATCATTGCCATATTAACTCGGCTATATTTCCATAACATTTATCTTCTTTTACCTATTTATCGTAATTTAATTTTTCACCGTGCTTTTGAATAAAAGTTACAGAACAAATTATTTTCCCATTCTATAATTCCCTGAGACTGACTGTACCCTTCCACCAATGTGAAAGTATCATCCCCACTCTCACTCCTTTATTTAAATGGATGTAAATTGTAAGCTGAAAGTGATACTAACTTTTAAACTGGAGTATAAAATAATGTTGTAAAAGAAATAAAATAGTGAAAATAATTTGTAGCAAATTGAATAAAAATATTTTCATTATAAAAGAACAGAGAATGTTAGCAAAACATTTCAGTTTAATCTCACACCATATTTTACCATGTACGTATTACCTAATGTACACCTGTTTTAGTAACAGAAACTATACCTGCGCCAAGATCCCACAGCTACAAAACTGTGATACCAAAGGCACAACTAGATAATTCCCTAAAGAAGAAATGTAAATAAAAGCAAATAAAAACTAATGGATATGTTTGGTGATAGAACAAAATATAAAATTAAAATGACATCCCAACAGGAAAAAACACCCCCTCTACCCCCAAGTTCAATGAGTGAGATAAAAACTTATTGCTACTACTCTTATGAGTAGATATAATTTCTTGGGAAACAAACTGGGATTATTAAATAAGCAATGGTGACAACATTTCACTTTTATCATCTTAATCTGGGGGAGGAAGAAATCTAGTATTGGGGAAATTAGCTACACACACCAATAAGTTCATTGCTGTGCTGTATATATAAGAACTTTCTACTAGAAAAACATACTAGCAAATAGCTTCAAGAACAAGACGGCAAGGAATTCCTTTGGATTTCTTTTTAGTGAGAATATTAACATAAAATCAACCACGTAAAAAATGAAATTCAGTAAAATCTTGCATAATTATCACCTCTATCTAATCCCAAAGCATTTCATCCACACTGAAAGGAAATTCTGTACTCATTAAGTAGTTATTCCCCACCTCCCTTTGCCTCTGGCAAGCATTAATTAATGGACTTACTTATTTTGAATTTTTTATATAAGATTTTTGATTAAGTAAAAGGATTTTGAGGTTCATCAATGTTGTCACATGCATAAGCACTTAGTTTTAAAAAAAAATTTGTGTTGCATAGATATGCTGTATTTTTTAACTATTCATTAGCTGATATTTCAACGTTTTCACATTCTTACCATTGTGAACATATTTTGCATGCCAGTTTTAATTCTCTTGAATATAAACCTGAGAATAAAGTTGGGTAATATTTCATTCTAAATTTAACTTTTTGATAACTGCTAAACGTTTCCCTAGGTTACATAGGTTTTAATTTCTGGGCAACATCACTAACAGTTGATATTTTCCGTTTTCTAGATAAAACCCATCCTATTGGGTATAACCACTACTTGTACTGAACAGAATAAACTCCTAAGTGACTGGACACTTCACACCAACAATAAGGGTGGAACTTTCCTTAACACTCAGTGGTGGGGTTCAGCCAGTCCACACCGGCCGGCGGTTCAAATGGCCGGAGTAATCATGGCTCTCTCTAAGGTGGGTGGTTACCTCAAAGTGGAAATCACAAATTCACATTCTTTATTTTTTTTTTAACACTCATTGTGGCAACAGTATATTCTAAGCACCAGAAGTAATATTCATTAGTCCAGTTTTTAAAAATTAGATGCAATTATGCTTATGTTTATTCATTTGATAAGACTCATTACACTTCTTAAGAAATATTACATTTTATTTACTTGTATTGGTTTTTTAGTACACAAACATATAACTGTGTTTATGAGAAAATGTGCCAACCAGCCAAAGGTAACAGTCATTCATTTCAGATTTGTGTTAGGCCCCAAATTCCCATGAGATATTATGAGTGAATTATGCAATTCTTGAAAGTGTTCAAAGACCTAAAAATACTGTCAGAACAAAATTGCTGCAAGCTTAGCAGAAGCCGAAAGGGGTTTCTCAAAGATGAATGTGTCCAGAGACGAGAAATCGCCTGTTTCTAATATATCAAACACAAAATGACGACTGCCTAATTAGGACAGCCAGAGTGCTCCTTATAGGCAAGGAGCACTTCGTCTTACACACTTTGGACATGGTGTCTGTCAGAAGAGACCAGTCCCTGGAGAAGGACATCACGCTTGGTGAAGTAGAGGGGCAGCGAAAACGAGGTGGGCTGACAACATGACTGCAACCACTGAGGATGGCACAGGACCACGCAGGGCTTTCTTTTGTTGTACTTAAGAGGGCTACGGGCCACCCTACACTAACTGCCGCTACCTATGAAGGAACAGGTCTACTCCTACAGAGAAAAGATGGTGACGGATACATCACACAGCTGACAATGCTTTGGATAAAAGGCAAGAATACTGCAAGTAAAGACACCAATCAAGAAACAAGATGGAAATATCTTAAATAGCTATTTTATTGTTTTTGTCAGGTATTATTTATTATTGTTTCATTAATATTTTAAAACTAATATTATCCTCTAGTTTTGTGCAATCTCTTATATTCTTCTTATTATCTTCATGAAATAATAAACTATCAGTATATCTTTTTTTATACTTAAACTGGTCATTAGAGAAGCAAACTGGTTGTTAAATTATTTGAATCCCACCACTGGTAAAATTCATTCATAGAGGCAGAGCCATGCCTATGAGACGAATATATGTCATAAGTAAGTAAAGAAAACATTAAAGTGGTAAATATACGGATTTCAAGAACACCTCAAGTACAGATTTGAAGAACATTAATAACAGATCAGATGAGTTGTGAGCTGACATCAAGAACATTAGTCATTAAGAAAGCAAAAGGTCATTAAAAATTTTAGACACAAAAGAAAGAAAAGATCAAAGTGAATGTCAGAAAAGATGCTAAAACTCGTTTTTGTGTTTTTTTTCAAAACCATTTTATTGGGAGTTAATACAGGTATCATATCATTCCATAGTTCAATAGCATCAAGCAGTATCATACAATTGCTACCACAATCAGTTTCAAAACATTCTTTTCCTTCCTAAACTCCTCGTCATCACCTCCCTTTTATCACACCACCCCCACGGTTGCTGTAGCCCCTCAGAAACCCATATTCTAACGTGCTGCCCCCATAGGTTCATCAATCCTGGGTTTCATGTACTGAAAAACTGAAAAACATTTAACGAAAATTCAAGAGGGTAACCCCCAATGACATTACACATGTGAGCTAAACCCCAAAATGAACAGACAGAACAATCCTGAAAACCAGACCAGGCCTACCATGCATCAGAGGGGTCAACTGACAGGTTTTAACCATTCAAGTCAGGTTCATCCTATTGACTTTCTATCCTCATCTCTCCAATGCACCCTGTTTAGTAACCACCTTCCTCCCGTCCCTCTATTATGGATAAAGGGAGATCACTAGAGGCTTATTCCCTACGTAGATCCCACAAATGTATCTCAGGCTCCCAGTGTCATCTGTAGCCTTCTGCCAACCGGATTCTCACAATTTAGGCTCTGAGCCTATTCCCTCCTTCAACTTCAGATTACATGAT